CCCCCCCCCCCCCCCCCCCCCTTTTTTTTTTCAGGGAGAAGTTGTGATTAAGCGCGTTTTATACACTGTTAAGCTCTTGATCACTCTTGCTCATGTTATAAAAGGTTTTTGGAGGGAGAGCTGAGAGGGGATGTGTCATGTCTGATGTTTTGTGGCCTAGCATCATGTTTTATGCTCCTTTAGGCCTGTTGTCCTGTCTGTGCCTAGGGCTGCTGTTTTGCGGGGCAGGAGGGCTCCAGAACGGTCGAAGGCAGAAGTGCGCGTCCTTCATGAGGAACGGATGCTGGCTGAATCTGGGAATTTAACAGGGCTGTTGCCAAGCATGTGACTGAAGCAGTTATGCCTCCTGGTGCTTGTCCCTGAAATGTGCACATTAACTTGGTTCCCAGGCTCTGTCATCAATTTGTTTTGTTCTACACTACCAGCAAGGGCTCAGAAGTGTTTCAGAAGGGCAGGATTAATTTTCCACAAGCATTACTATCTACTGTATCAAGGTATGGTACTGCTGAAATAGAATAACGAGTTGTAAAAAATACTGCTTTTAGCTGGCAGTCTGAAGACAATCATGTTCTCCTCAAAAATAGCACTTACTTTCCATTCCTGCATGCTCTGTTTGTTCACCCCCTTTCCCACATACACCTTGTATTCTGTTTTCCTTTTCTCCAGTGCTCATGTAACTCTGCTCTAGCTACGCTTGCACCCCAGGTCTGGTGCAACACAGGTCTTGGGTTTGTTTTCTGTCCTCTGCTTGTTTCACAACTACGGCCGGAGAGAGCCATCTCTTCTGCATCTTCTTTCCTCTCCGAACGTTTGCTGTAGTGGTTTCCCAGAGCGTGGTTTTGGCTGAACTGGACAGATATTATTCTGTGCAGAGTTTAATTCTTCAGAGGAACACCTCCGAAGCCAGCTTTGCTGAGAGTCTAGTGAAATAAATGGGGCTATCTGCTGACCCTTTCATATCCTGCCAAAACTTCATCCCTGTTACTTCTTCAAGTGGTTGTTTCTATTTCTTTCATCTGCTAACATGAGGACTGGCCTGCAGAGAGATACCAAAAGCAACAGTTGATTGATGTTATGCTCTTTAATAATTCACAGCAATAATACACGTTTTATAAGCTTTCTAGTGAACTAGCCAAAAAGGCATTTAACAGCAAATGACGTAGAGTAAACTAAACAGGTGTTCAACACGAGCTATTTCTAAATAACATTTAAAACAGAATTTTTATTGATGTTTGGAATGGTATCAGAAATATCCAGTCCATTTTAGAATCATCATGCCTTTCATGCAGACAGGGAGCGGTATTCCTGTAACATTTAATCTTTTTCTCAGTAGAAGATATGATTTCTAGCTTAGAAGCTTTGTGTACTTGAGAGCATAACTCAAACACAACCTTTATAGAAATATCAGTATTGAAGAGCATTCAAAGCTTTTCAATGTTAGCAAGCATATTCTAGGTTGGCAAATGAAAAATCAATGCTTTCAATTTCTACATTATCACCAGAAGGTGATGCTACTATGTCTTTCATCTGGTTATAATTTCAACCTTAAAAAAATAGTTTTGGGAGTCTGTTGAAATTTTTTATTGAGGGGGTGGTTGTGAGAGGGAATTCTTGGGAGCTTTAGATTCAGATGGAAAATCGTAGCTTGCACAATGCACTCAGATATTCTTCATTTTCAGGATCCAGTTCCAGGGCTTTCTCATAGCACTTAATTGCCTGCAGTTTCTGACTGTTTAGTTGATGAATGAATCCAAGTGTGCTAAAAAGCAGTTTTGCAGTTAGTTCTAGCAAAGGAATCAATCTCAATTTTCAGCCCTTCTGTGTAATATTTAATAGCTTCAGATTCTGATTTCCTGTAAAGATACTGAAAATGTCCATAATGGTAGCAGAGTTCTTGTTTATCTGCAGTGTGTCGATCTATCAATTGAAATGCTTTATGAAATGTCTCTTCTGCTTCTTGATACTTATTTTCTTTTGCATACATATTTGCTAGGTCATAGTAGGCAACAAAAAATATTGACTTCTGCTCAATTGCTATTTTAAAATGAAAAATGCAAAGTTGAATGAGTTCTTCCACTTGCTTTCTGGGTGCATGTTTTCCAGCCTTTTCCAGTTGAATCAGTTTTCTTCTGTAGCAGAGTCCTGCCTGGTGATGCAAAAAGCTACTTGTTGGTGTCAGTGCTAGGGCTTTTTTCAGCGACGCCAGTGCCTTATCTAAGTCTCCTTTTCTTCTATAAAATTTAGCAGCATATCGCAGAAAAAAAGGGAAATCAGGGGTTTTTTTCATTGCTTCTTCAATGTATCTCTCCCCTTCATCAACTAGATTTAAATCCTGAAGTTTTAATGCAAGTAATGCCACAAGAGAGGTATCATTTGGATTCAGTTCCACTGCACGCCTCAGGGGTTCCAGGGATGATTTTTCATCTTTACAGCTTTGCCAAGACACATTTTGCAAACGATACATTGCTATTGCACGGCCAGCATTACATTCTGGGTTGTTAGGTTCTTCCTTCAAAGCATTTTCAAAACACTCCTTTGCTCTGCCATAGTATGTTCTCCCAAACCTTAATAATGCCCACCCTTTTTCAGCATAGATCTCTGGAAGCTGAATCTTATAGCGAGCAGTGCTTGAAAGCTTTTTGCAGGTGTCTTCCACTTTGCTTAAATAGGTTTGAGCTTCTTTGTATCTGTTCATGTAGTAATAAATCCAAGCATAGTTCCCCCAGGTAACCAGACTTCTCCTGTCAGTTTCATTTGGATGATTTTTTTCAACTTCTTCTTCAGCTTTTTGTAGATTTTTCAGGGCATCCTCATTTAAGTGCTTTAGGTGACACACGTATGATAGCATATTATAACTTGCAACTTTGGATTTTGTAAGGTGAAACTCAATATGATCGCCTGTTGTGTCCTTTAGGTTATCAAGATCCACATCCTCCTTCAGCAAAATCCATGTAAAATGACATTCCAGTTGCAGCAGGGTGCTCTTGATGTCATTCTTGGAAAGGATACTAGAAGAAATCACACAAGAGCTTACTTGTATCTGATCTGCTTTTTGCAACTGTTCTATTTGAGTCAGGCATGACGTACTTTAAAAGCAGGCAATAATTCAGTTGATACCGCTAGACAACAATACTTCAAGTAAGCCAAAGTTGTGGGAAGCCATCGTTCTAAAGAGCTGAATAGCTCTTCTAGTATTTCTTGCCAGTGTAACCGAGGTCACCTGTTATATAGCAAAAGATCCAGTGATCTGGATGTCATAAAGGAGGGTCAGTCTCTATTGTAAAGCTAGCACGCGTAAGGGCCTCAGGAATATATTTCTGCCCTTTAAAAATTCACTGAAGCCTACCCAAAAGAGGTAAGTGATTTAGTGCCTTTCCTATATCTCTGTACATTTTAAAGTTTGTATTATAAAATTCATTTTGAATTTCCTGAATTTGCAAATGCTTATTGGTTGGATCATAGCATCGTTTTTATGTTCTGATGATATTGATGAATTATATTTGTTTCCCATAGCTTCTGTCTGTGAATACTGTTGTTTCCTGTAATGGCTTTTTAGTAATATGCTTGTTTCTAGTGCTTATTTTTATTTTTACTCACTTATTACACCCTACAAAGAGATTTTCTTGCATTTTACTACTCTTCTGTATATTTTAAGCACGTGTGGGTGTTAGAGGCCAAAACAGATCTGCCCTGGAATCATGCCACGTCAAACCAACCTTGCATGCTTCAGCCCACTTGCTTTTTATTCAGTGTGTTTCATGTGTGCCTTTGATTTGAGAACAGTCATATCCTGCATCAATAACATCCATATTTAGGAGCTGCTCCAATGTTTGGACAGCGCCATGTGTCTGCTGGCTTCATGAACCCTATCCTCAGAATATGGAAAGAGAAGATGACCACTACAGTTGCAGAAAAGTTAAGGTATCAGCACCAAAGCTCTCTGCCACCACTGCCTTTGTAAGCAAGCACAATTTTGTTTTGAGTTTTAGCTTCCTCTGCATGATGCTGGGTGGCAACGTCCCTTGCTTCATCTGCTTTTCCTGATCGGGAGAGCATCCGGCCAAAGAGTGGGGCAGCATGCGGTGCAGAAGAGCTGTAAGTTGTAGCTAAGATTTCTAAGAAGCAATTGCCTAATAGTAGGCTTCTAAAGCCATATTTACACATCAGAATTTTCAAAAATTCACATTAACAATGTAGAACAGTGATAAAAGAGCATTTATTTCTATAAAACGCATTTTCTTCCTTTGTTTCTATTGTGATTTTCATAGGTAGTGGGTATTAGAAAACAATTTGGAAGGGAATAAACTGGCATGCAACTGCATGACACTAATGGCAAAAAAAATATCTTGTTCCAGGTAGAACCTTTGGCTACAAGTGAATGCCATAGAGTTAGAGCTATTGTGTCTCAACTCAGCAAAATATTCCAGGAATAGCTTGGAATAGCCCCATTCAATTCTTATATGAAAATGAAATACCTGACTTTGCACTTTCTGTTGCATTTGTTACCTCAGCTGAGAACCATAAAAACTGACGGGTGAAAACAACAGTGGAAGTGAATAATGTGAAGACATTAATGCAAAATTAATATTCATAAATAAATCACAGAAACAGATATGTGATGCAGGTTAAATACAATTTATCTTAGTTAAACATATAATTTGTAAGTGCTGATATTTTCAAAACTGGCATAAACATCTTGGCTTTGCTGAATTTGAATGTGTGTGTGACATTCAGAAAGTGTTATCCTTCCTCTTATGCTACAAACTGCAGTACATAACTTGCACTGTCTTGTTTCCTATTCCTCACAGTAGTACAAATCAGAAAATAAATTCTCAGAAATACCAGTGTCAGTCACCCGTCTAGCTATTCACCAGCTGCTACTGCAACTTCATCCATGAACTGCATGCAGATTTTCTCTCTGTTTACAGAATAGAGACTGGCCCTTGTCTTAGAAGCAATAACATTATGTCTTAGAAGCAATAACACCACTCAACAGACTCCTTATTTTATTTTGATTCTCCTGGTAAATATTCTGTAATTTTTTTCCTAATGTTTGCCCCTCTAAGTCCTTGACTGCTTCAATTTCTTACTCCTAATAATAGCTTACAATTTGTACGTGGCATAAGAACACAATGAAAAGGCGGAGTTCAGAGGCTGGGCTGCTGACTTACCTCATGGTTTTCCCTGTCTTGACAGCTGCTTTAGGGTAGCTTTAGAGTGCAACAGAGTGCTGCTCACTGTTGTTACAAATTGCTTTTTATGTGCTCCAGCCGTCATGTGATCTGTGTGTAAATTACTGAGAATCAGAAAGTGAAACCTCGACTGTCCTCCAAATTTCCTAAAGAGACTGAAATAGCTGCCAGTAGGGGAATAGAAACTTAGGAGTCATTGTGCTGTGTTCCCCCCCCCGTCTTGGTTTTATGCTGCATATGGAATTGTGCTGCAGAGAAAGTGGCAACAGCTTTTAGTAGCTCGGAGCATTTACTTTGCTTAAAATCCAAAGGCATCTATGGTAACGAAACTATCTCAGACTAATGCAGTTTGAACTTGATACCATTTTATAGGCTAGTAGGGAACGGATCGTCTCTCTCTCCTGCCTCTGCTGATGAATCTTTGCAAAATTTTGTGCTACGTTTTAGGCTCCTAGTTGAAAGGTATTGTGTCACTCAGCATTGCATCTAGGACAAAAAGAATTCAGATTTGTATCTCCTAGATCCTCAGGTGCTCCTAACTGCTTCATTTAATACCTGTTAGAAGATCATTTCAGTTGCACTTAGGCTAGTACCATTTTCACCAGGAATTAGAAGCCTGATTCCCTTTGAAAATCTAGGCCTACTTATTTCAGATGGCTAAATCACACTTTTAAAGGCACAAAAGTATTCCCAAATGTAAGTCAGTTATCTCCAAGACCTGCTGACCCTCTGAACATCCCTTGCCTTTGCTATAGGTGCAGATGTTGCCAGGGTTCCTCTAAAACTATCCAGAAGACAAGCCCTTCAGGACAAGAGTCTGTTGGCCATAGGGACCACGCTATAGAATAGATTTCCAGAAGAGGTGAGACTAATTCTGAATAGTTTTTGTCCAGGCAGTAGGATTTTTCTTGCTGATAAACTTTATGATCAGAACCAGAATACTATCATCAGTTATCTTCATCCTTTTGAGAAAGTAAGGCAGAAATAGCAAAGCAGAAGACTCATTTAAGTCCATGCAGGACTGCTCTGTAACCTGGAAGCAAATTATGGGAAGATGTGCTTACAGACACGTTATACAGACAGATTTGTGGTTTACGTGGCAGTAACTAATGCCTGTGTAAATAAGTTTGAAACTTTTTTTTTTTGTTAACGCTCAAAGCATTGTGAAAGCGTTGTGACTTGCTTATTGCTATAGCCAATGCTGAAATAAAGGTAAACCAATGACGAGTGGTATAAGAGACAGCAATATATTTCCAGTGTGTTTGTGAAGAAGGGTGGAGAAGCCGGGAAGGCCCCGGATCTGTAACTATGTCCAAGGACCCCCAGTACAATGTAACAAGGGGGGTTGTGGGTGTGAGGTGGCCAGGAGGCCTCTCAGAAGGTTTGCTTTGATTTTTGCATGCACCACTGTAACCGTGTAGTCCTGTAATATGCTATTGCCGTTCCTAGTACGAGGCTATAAGCTGTGCACTGAGTTGCAAGGCCTCAGGTCTGAGGCTTGCCAGGCTGGCTCTGAACTTCTCTTGGCCAGCCTGCAGCTTTGTTTTACTTGGTTTAACTGTGACAGCAGCTTCTCTAATTCACTGAGTGTCTAGGGCTGATTACTTTTACTGTTGTTTATCTTTGTGTGGCACAACCCTAGTTGTATATAGATAGTAGTAACAAGTAGTTATTCTAGGGAGAATGAAATATTTATGACTCTAACACAATGATGTAGTGTGGAGAAATAGCAGAGGCTTTGAGAAGTGGGGACTGTGTGGAGTAGAGGAGTGCAGGCAGGGGACGATAAGATATGAGGCACAGGCTGGCACTGGAGGCCCCATGGCTATAAACAACTCACTAATGGTCGATTAGAAGAAAAAAATGCAGACCTGGATGGACAAAACTAGTTTTAGTAACAAAGAGAACAAAGTAGTAGTATCTATCATAAAGTGCACCGTATATAGTGAGTTTGGATGTAACCTGGAGCTGCAACCCAATGAAGAAAGAGAAAGTGTAAAAAGCATGTTAGCAAACATATACAAATGACTCAAAGTGGATCCTGGGGAGGGGAGGAAGAAACCAGCAACATAACATCATATTGCTCCCAGTGAAGGACTTCAGAGGCTGATGACTTACGGTGTTACTCTCTCCAGCAGTCCAAAACTACTGACCTAAGACCAAGAGGAGCAATGGAAGGGTGAGTGTGACTTCAGGAAAAGGGATAGAAACTAAGTGTGTGTATGCTGCATACAGAAAAAGTCATAATAATAGTAATAATACAATTGAAATTGTAAGTACTTTAACTGCATTGTCATTCTTCATTTCTCTGCAAGAATTAGATCTAGATGAATGATGATTCTTGAATTTGACCGTAAAGACTTCTATTGCGCGCACATGCACACACACGCACACACATGTGTGTGTGTGGTGTGCTTCCTTTTTGCCCATAGACAAGTTTTTTAAAATAACACCATAGAACTTTTCTCTCCATTCTGGAATCCATCCATTTTAAAAGGTGAGGTTGTCTTGATTGCTAGCAAATATTTGTAATAGATACTTTCTAATGTCCCTTCATAATTAATATTTGAGGAATTTTAGGGTCCTCTATTTTGTACTAATAAGCGCGTAAAAACACATACAAGAATGCTGCATGAGACTTTTCATTTTTCCTGGTACATGACAGTGGCAGGCTCCTCCATTTTGTGAGTTTTTTTTGTAGTGGAGGTTGTTCTTCTGTCCCAGCAAGCCAAGTAGTCATTTATTTCCAACCTCCTTGTTCCCTCAGAACTGCTACTGCTGCCACCATGTTTAATCTCTGTAAAGAGACAAAAATTAATAGTGTTCATTGTTATTTATAAGCCATATATACTCTGTGAATGCCAAATTGTACACTTGTAAGACTTTTAGGTTTTAGTTTTTAAAAGGTTACCTACTGCTGCTTGAACAGTCCCCACCATCACAAGCGTGTAGGAAGCATTTTTCAAAGCAGAGTTCAATTCTTGATTTGTTGATAAAATGCATTCATCCTCATGGTTTGGCCAGGAGATGGCTCCATCTAACCAGCTCTAACGAGCATCATATTGTCTGAAGCTAAATGAGGGTAGTGAACGACCTTTGTAAAAAGTGGTCTCTTTAGAAAGTCTTTCAGGAAATTGGAGAGCAGTATTTAATCTGAATGGACTCCCAGGAGAGAGGTGAATCTTTAGGACAAGTTTGTCCTTTCACTGACATCCTATCCTGGATGCAGGTTTGGCATAAAGATTGGATTATGTTGCTGATGTGGTGTTAATATGATAGCTTTTTATTTGAATAAAGGCAAATTAAGGAATTAAAAACAAATTAAGGTGCTAAATTAGTATGCACACTATACAGAGAGATTTTTCTTTTGTTTCTGAATATCTGTTTCTAAAGGAAGTAAGCTTTCCTAATCTTGCATTTTAATACACATTGTTTTTTTCCTTTCCCTTAGTATTAGAAGTAACTTCAGGATGGCAGGAGGAACAGAGTGATTCCCTTCCCACAGCAGTGGCAATCCATAAGCAGGAGTACTGGTCCGCTTGTGTTGGAGATATGTCTTCCTGTATCAACCAGCAGTCATAATACCTTTGGCATGCAGCAAGAAAGTGGGAAAAGAGCCTGAGCCCTGAGGGTTATCTGGAGTTTGAAAAGGTGTGGATAAGATCGTGATGAAGCAGAACACAGATAAAACAACTGTTGATCCCTTGGTTAGAAAGGAAGACTGTGATCTAATTGGTAATTATATAATCTCCTTGTTAATTTGGGAAACTGTCCTCACTTTCTGAAGCTTTCTTGTTAAATTTTGAGAGTACCTGTGGTAAAGTTGGTACATGTATCAGTGATGTTATGTAAATATATAATGCCCTATGGCCTCCACATCTGGAAGGCTGAAGTGTGAAAAACACTGATCCTTGCTTGAATATCTGCACAGCACAGCTTTGCTAAGAGTGAGCATGCCATTGTTGTGAGATAAATTGTCAACAACTAGAAATCGCTGAGCTGGGAGCTAAAATCAGTGCATCCTCTGGGAGCTGCTGGGAGCTAACACCACATGTGAAGCGCAGGCTAAGAACTGTCCTTCTCTTGGGGTTAGGTGCCTCGCTCAGAGCTGCAGGGGGGCACCTCTCTCTACTTGGTATCCACAGCCCAAAAGCCATGCCTCACCCTTTTTTCCCAAATAAGTAGAGAAGAGTTCATTCCTTTTTCTTGAAGAGGAGGAAGAAAAATGCCTACCTTACATATGAGAGTTTCTGCTTCCTACAAGAGGTAGGAGAGCCTTAGTACCAGCTACTGATCTGAGGGCTGTCTGTGTGTTTGAGATTAGCCACTTGTTGGTTCACTGCTGGTAATGAAACTTTTGGGAAAATTAGAAACCACAGGGGGTGGAATCCAAACTCCCCTTCTCAGATGAGTGCTCGAGCCAAAAGATCACTTCATACTTTTGCTCTTGGTGTTCTGAATTCAGATCCAGTTATTGGGACTTTTGGCCATCGTCAATGGGAGTGGAGAATGCCCCATATTCGTACTAGCTGATAGCCTGATGTTTTAGGCACCCTCTTGATATGTGAAAAATGTGAATTTGGACAGTTTAGGCTGAGCTGGGAGCTGAATCTGGTTCCCTCATTTCTTAATGAGCAATCCAGTCATTAGGCTATTAGGGAAAAGGGAGCAACCACCATCGCTATCTCATCTGAAAGAAAATCATAGATGCCACTGCATATTGTAAAGACATCATACGATCAGTCTGTTGGGTATGTTCTGGGCAAGGCTCTCTAGAGATGGGAACAGAAGAAAGGCTTCAGCTGGACCAAAGAAAATCCAAGTAAAACACAGGCTGCTGAGCGTTATCAGGAATGGAATGGTTCAAGAAAACTTTAAGAAGTTTAAAAGTCAGGCGTGTCTGTGTACAAGTAATAACTGAGTAAGGTTTTTATGGATCACAGCTCAGATGTGGGCTTCTTGTCTCATTTAGGTGAATAATTTTTTTGTTGGAGCTTACGTTTCAGAGTTCCAGATAAAGGTGAGCACAGCTATTACTCTGCATAGCATGCAGCCCTCCAGCAATCAGGTATTTCATGAGCCGTGAAAAGAGGCAGTGAAGTAGTTAGGTAAAAGGGTGAGGGGATCTACACAGATCCATGTATTTTATGGAAAAACTGTGCCACAGGTAGTTGTGGAAAAATGTATTTAAAGGTTTATGCAAGGCCAAAATCAGCTGTGGACGCTAGCAATTTACTGTGCTACTAAATATCTATGAGTTTCTTGTTTCTGTTTCTGTCCTGGCTGTCTGTTTTCCTTGTATTACACGCTTGCTTGGCATTTAGTCTGTGTTGTGCTCACAGACTTCCTCTTGCCAAGAAAGAGGAAGGTTGGATTGAAGCTGCAATATGATAACCAAGGAATTGGAGTATTGATTTATAGGCTGGTCCTTTGTTCTGTAGTGAGGAAAGCATGTTCCTCATCACTGTTTTTGCAAGTCTCATAATTACTGCATCCATACTGTGACCTGAGTGTTTCCAACAGGATGAAAAAATGCGGATGCTCTACAGTACATATGTGTATGGGTGGGAGAATACAGGAATTTTCCATCTGGAATGCAGTAATTTGTGCTGGCATCAGTATTTTTTAGTTTAGTTGCATCCATATGCTTCAGTTAGGCAAAAATGATCATTGAATAAAATTAAGTGCAGGAAAGTGCTTAAAATAGAGGAAGTGAAGGTAAGAGAAAAATATATGCAAGGCCTTTCTGTAGCCATCTTTGTAACTTGCTTGACAGAATACAGGAAAATTCAGAAACATTTCTACAATCCTGCTGCTTTGATTTCAAGGAAAGCTGCAGCTGGATTGACTGATATCTGAGAGAGCTGCACTGCATAGCAGCAAATGCAAGAGCTTCTTGGAAAACACATGAGCAGAAAAGGGCTAGAAAAAACAACAACTACAATCATATTTAACACAAAAACTTAATTTACTTGAGTGTTCAGAGCACGCACAAGAATATGAATGACTTCAAAAATACCTGCACATTTTAGAGATAAAATTTATATCTGTACTTTTCCTGGGAGCAGAAATGGATACCTGCTGATAAAGAATTCTCCCCTGGGATCATTAGCTCAGCCAGATAATTGCCTGAAATGTCGTTTACGTTATTAAAATAATGTAGATGAACTATACCATAGTAAATGACAGAATCACTTTACCCTATTTTATGCTGGTTACAATTAGCCTAGTTTAGCATTTAATTACTATGTTTGACAGCAGCAGTTGTGGCATTTTATAACTTGGGTTTTTCTCTGGGGGAAGAGTATCCTGTAATTAATTTTGCAGAAAATCCAAATGAAACACCGAGCAATGTTTTTGCTACCCAAGTTCTTCTAAACAAAATCTGACCCTAAGAAACAGGATCCAGCAGTACAAAGGTTGCATCATCACTTTTATCAAGCACGCAAGCCACCTCTACATATCAGAACAAGTGGATGCTGTGATATTGAAATGCCTTAGAAGGCTCTCCTATCATGTTTCCCCAAAGGCAGTTCATCTCTGGCCTTCGTATCTTTGTGATTGAAAAAGATCAAAGAAAAGCTTATAAATTTATTAAAAGCGCCCTTGAGACTCCGTATTAGTATCATTTTATAGTACTCTGTTTCTAAATGTCAGGCATTTTATCTTCGCACTTTTTATAGTGCTTTTCCTCTGATGGCCTACCCTGTAAACTAATTGAATGCCCCAAATTCCTAGGAAGCAGGAAAATCACAAACAAGAATTATTTCCACAGGTATGGTGGAAGTAAAACAGATGTATACCTCATTGCATAAAACTGGCTCCAAAGGCACAGGCCTTCCCTGACGAAGCTAGAGAAGAATGCTATTAATGTTAACAGTGTAGAGGTCTAATGAAATAGCCACCACAGCAGACAGAAGATAACACACTATGTTGCGCAGGAGGTAATGATTTCCACAGACTTAAATCCTTTGGCTGCGTCTACTCTGCAGTCATTACTGGCTCATAGAGGTGTATCCAAACTTTAACTTCATTAACTGAAGTTTTGTTTCTCGCAAGGCAATCGCAGTAGGCTGGAGCTCAGCGTGGGATAGCAGTTCTCCGCTTCTGGAGCGGGTTGTGCTCTCCTGGTACCTGAAGGTGGCTGCAGCGTCAGCAGACTGTGAGAGGTCTGACTTCACTTGGCACATGAGGGCAATGGAAACTACTCAGTGTCCTAAAGTGAATGCTTAATAAAACACAGGAATCGCCAATGTAAAATAGGTTGAGTTGGGAAAAAAAGAAAGTGCAGGATGATTTCAGCCAAGCAGAATGTAATTACCAGAGAAGGAATTTGTGTAGGCCCCAGGATCAAGACGCCCAACTCTTTCTTTGGAGTACTGCCAGGCTATTAAGCAAAAAGTCAAAGTGTCACCCTCTGAGTAACTGACACTGATATTTAGCATCTCTGCTACTAATTAGTACATTTCTAAGTAATTTGCAAATAATCATTCCCCCCCCCCTACTGCAGCATGAGTTCAGGGTCCTTCTCTCTGGACCAGAGCCAATGGCAAACTGCAAAGCTGTGGGCCTGGAATTGGGTTGCAAGACTGTGGTAGACTGCTTTAAGGATACTTTAAAATATTTTAAAATCATTATTTTAAAAATGTGTTTGTTTATAAACTTGAAACAAACATAAAGGCAAATCCTTCCTTGCTCTCTCATATTCTGGTATACGAGGGGCGATCAAGCGACAGTCCCTTCCCTATGTCTCTGCTGTTTAAGATTGCTATGTAGGAAATACAGCATGTAAAGAAAGGTGCAAGCAGAGCAGGGCAGACTGAGGCTGGCTTACTTGCTGAATGGGATGTGCAGAAAGGGGAGCTGGAATTACAGTTTATGTCCCAAAGACCTATCCCGGGATAGCCAATCTAAGGGAAGTGGGGGGTTGTTTCGCTATTTGCAGGGTGGAAGAATTCCTCTGCTTCTCCTGCAGAGTTGCAGAACTGCTTCTCTCAAATCTGAGGCGCTCCCAGTGAGACTTGAGTCAGTCAGCTCGGGATGTACTTTCTCTGACCTGTCTGTCGCACACGCTTGTAGTGTGGGAACCTGGCCTCTTCCGTCGATGGCGCACTGGGACCCCATGTGCCAGGCACAACCCGGTGGCTTGCAGAGCAAGGGACGAGGCACTTGGCTGCAGGGAGCCTGGCTACCTAGTGGTGTAACACCGTCTTGTTAACAGCCTTGTTAAAAGGTATATTTTTCAGTTTTTCAGTTGTATTCGCGTGCTGCAATCCACCCGCTCCATCATATGATCTTTTCTGCTTCCCAACTCCTCCACTCCATCACGTGAACCAATATCTGTGCTCTCGTACTTGAGAGGAGAAAATTGAGAGCTGTTATGGGTGTAATTTCTGAAAAGCATTAACATTTTAATTTACAATCTTATTGTTCTCTGAATAATCAGACATGTCTCTGTTCTTCTTCGACACGCTCCTGCTCCACCATGGCCTTTTTTATTTCAGGTTTCTGTGTTATGCTGAGGATATTGCTATGAACCTAGTAACAAGAATATTATATTTCAGGATTGAGTTCAGTCCAGGTTTTTGCAAGCGTGGCCACATGCCCTCTGACCACAGGCCCTCTCCTCTGCGAGATTACAGGCACGCAATGCCCATTTAGTTGCAACAGAGCAAGGAGATAAAACAGGGGTGCGGGAGCTGCTTGCCAGCTTGTAACTTAAGCCTGCTGGTATTAGATTTGATACCTTCAGGCTATGCTCAAGGGTAAGGAAGGGCTAGATGATCTCTGTGTAACGCTTGGCAACGCTGCCACAGCGCTGCGGTCCTCGCGCAGGGCGCCCAGGCCTCCTCCAGCGGTGCCCGGCGCGTACCGCTGGCTGCAGAGCGGCCGCCGAGGTGCCAGGCCGGGCCCAAAACGCGACCCCCCACGGCGGGGGGGCGCGAGGGGGGAGCAGA